CTTTCCCTGGTGAAACTATATAATCCTGCTGTCTTGTTAGAGCAAAAACCATCCATGAGACTTCATTCAAAACAAATCCCCCGTCAAACTCTTTCTTCCTTTTCATTTGGACAGTTATCCTTCTGATAATTTATAAGGAAAAAATTCTTTCTTTGTCTAGTTCAAATTTGTAAAGAGGATGGTATCGGTCTGACAGCATTGTAAACAAAGAGATTTTCAATCTTATCAGTGCTAGAATGTATTGGGCAGTTGTTCAATGCATATAGAAGAAAACCAGCAATACAGCAGTAGTTCCATGGAAAAACAAAAACCCTCAAAGATATGGTTAGTTATAGTTCATTTTGATGATAAACAATTTCCATAAATAAAGAGAATTTTTCCAGATGCACCTGCAGCATTTTAAGTCCCCCTTCCCTGCCACTATTACCAAACTGCCCCCTAATGTATTTCATCTACTGGCATTAGTCATGACTACACCTACTGTCTGCAATAGGATGCCATTCATCAGCTTGGTAGGCTCAAAATTAAGTGATTTTCCTGGGAATTGTTTCTCGGCAGCATCATTTGATCCGGTGTAGTTAAAAAGCTATGCCACTGGTTGCACTAGAAATTCCATTTTACAGTCTTCATTTTTTAAAATAAATTAATTGTAGTTTTCCTCTAGGCTTAATGCTGGTATAAAAGGTTTTGGCTGATGAGCAAATCTTTTCCAAAGACAAGAATTTTCAATTCCATCATTTTTAAATAACAGTGGCATAAAAACCCTCATAGGAAGAAACTTGTTTAAGTCAGCTACACAAATGAAAGTTGACAAGTGATTAGCTCCTTCTGGGAATGAATTGTTTTCTACGTTTTAAGGGAAAAAATATCATCAGTGACTTTGGAAGTAGCCTGAAGCATGGGCTTTGGAAGCCTAAAACTACAAATACCAGTTTAAACATTTATATATTTAAGCAATTCTTGTAACATGAAGTGGGTATGACAAAGCGTGAAGTTTAACAAAAACCCTATCTCTTGTAAAATGCAAGCAGTATGCACACTTGTAAAAACTCAGCAATATACTAGGGGCTGTCTTAGCCATCCTGAAGGACCTGCAACAGTGAACACATTAGTTCCTACCTTGAAAACTTAAGCATGGTATATTGAGCCTTTAGGACACTGCACTCCCATGCATGCCCAGAAGAGAAATTATTGCTTGCCATACAGGGTAGAAGTAATTCAAAGGACTTTTGTTGTTTGTCCTCCCTATCTTTCCCTTGAATGAAAGAATGAGAAGATTTTTTTTTGCTGGCTTCTACTTTGAGAAGACAGTTAAAATTGAATCTGTATCATTCTGCTTTTCACCAGTTACACCAGAGTCACATCATGGTAAATACACCTGTTCCTCTGATTTTTCACAGTCTAGTTTCCATGGAAAGGAAATGTAGGACTGTGTGCTGGGCTGGGCATGCAGTGCAACTTGGATAGGTTCCTCAACTGGTCAAATGGATGCTACCACATACAGAGGCAGACACAGGCTTTGTCAGGTTTAGCCTGCTCCTGGAAATGGGGGAGTGGGCTGCTGGTGATCCTTATTTGCTTCCTAGAGCACACAGCATGGAATAATTTATTTTTTAATCTAATCACACCATCTTGGATCACAGCCTATATAATGTTTTAAAAGTTAACAGAGTGTTTCAGAGGTGGCAGCTTCCAGTCTGCCTACAGATCAAACCCCACAAGCACGCAGTGCATCTTCCTACTGATCAGTCAAAATTACCTCATTAATTCCTAGATACTTGACAATTTTGACAATTTATAGGACAAACCTGATGATCAATCTTATGTATTTTTCCTATGTGAAGTAAAATATTTATGCTACTTGTTTTTTTCGGTCCAAATCTACTGAACTGTAACCTGTGAGGAACTACTTGCTATAAACATCAACCCATATTGGTGTTTCTGAATGTGAGAATCATTTGCAAGAATAAACTCCATAAAATCTGAGCTAAAAGGCAAAGAAAAGTGGACAAAGGACATTCATTTTTACCCCATAACAATTAAAATATTTGACCTAAGCAGATTTTAAAGGGTCTGAAGTCCTCCCTCACATTAGACAAACATTTTAAAGTCCGTTCATCCAAATACATGATTTCAATGAGGAGTGGTGTGTTCTTCACACTCTTTAGCAAAACTGAGTTTTTGAAGTCTGGAATAATACTACCCTTAATTCTGGGCATGAGAACAAGTTCTGTTAGTTTTTTGCTTTCTTTTTAGTTAGCAAACTGACTCATCTCATTAGGAAGTCAGGACCTGCAGTGCAATGTGCTGTATTTCTACAGGATTTGCCAGGATATAGTGGTCATGACATTTAAAACTAAGATGATGACATGGAGGAACAGGTCACTCTAGCATGAAATGAAGAAACAGAAGTTGAATAAAAACAAAAAGGAGAAAAAAAAGAGACTCTAAGTTCATATGAGAAATAATGAAGATTAGAGATAGCCTCCAGCTAGTCAGAAATCGTTCAGGTACCACAGATTAAATTTTATAGCCCCATGGGCCTCTCTGAAGATCTGTGCACCTTCTTTCCACCATGGAATGGTATTATTCCAAGAAACAGTGCTTGTAGAACTTGATTTCTAAGCTAATATCCAGTTACAGGGTAACTGTGATTAGACAATCTGTGATGTAGAACTTTGAAAAAACGCTGTATTTTTCAATAGTGAAAGGAAAATATGAGATGTTCTGGGAGAACACTAGTGGATGTGTTTTTTTAAACACACAGCTTTATGCAATTAGAATTAAACAGAGATTTCCAAGAAAGGTTGCTATACCTCACTCCTCATCCTGGCTGGTTACGATTAAACAATTTGCTCATTGTAGAGGTGACCCCTTCCATTCAGTTATGTCCCCTCACACAGCAGCTGGCTCACTTGGTTGAGCAATTATTTTTCCTGTTCTGTGGTACAGGGAGCAGACAGATACAGCCAACAGTGCAGGAGACATAATAATCAGATCATTAGACCTGACACTTACTTCATACTCCTCTTTAAATCCATAGCCTTCTGCACACTTCATCTGGGTGATGTGCTGCAGCAAGTCAGCTACGCGGATGGCTGGATGGAGCTGTCCAGTCTGGTAGGGCACATCCACTGGATCTCGCTTCTTGTAGGTATGGGATTGGACCAGGCTGCTTGTGTCACTGACCATCGTATGGGTTTCATCTAGAAAAAGAGTATCTCATAATGTACTGCTCATTTTCACTTATTAAAAGAAGTAGAAACTACACACATATCTAGAGGAATGGCAGAAATCTGACACCATCAGCATTGCTTCTGTCTGTGAAGGCTACACCAGAAGAACAGTAAATCCACGGAGCAGTTTACACAGGGAAATTGCAAGACTGATTGGAATGAGGCAAAGTCCACAGTTCTACAATGGAAGCATTGCAGAGCAGTCCAAACTCTAATATTGTTTTAAATATCACTAGCTGTTTACAAACACATTTTAAAACAGGCGTTTGGTTTTAAGCTGCATAGAAGTTTCATTCTGAAACTTCAACAAGTCCCATGGAATGAAATTGGACTTGTATTCTTCATAGATTATTGAAGTGCTATATTTCACACTGCAAATTTAGAGCAAATGTTTGGAGTGAGCAAAATAAAAAGATGCACAAAATGGCTTATGATTTCATCAAGCTAGGACTGCAATGGAAATGTAGATCTGAAAACAACACTTGGAGACGAACTACAAGAGGACAAATGCAAAGGATCATCTGATAAGGAAAAATGTCTTGACTGACTGCTGAACATGCTTTAGGACCACGGTGTATCATGAGCCACCACATTAGGCATGGAATGTTATGTCAACTGACATGCAAGCCAACAAACAGGAGACCCCCGTGGGCTGGTTAAAATTTTTATGAGACACATACTCTCCCAACCCTCCACATCTCTTCCATGGGGCAAATGGGCAACTTACCATTGATTGGCACTTTTAAGAAGATACATATCAGGAGAAAAAAAGAGGAGGAGAAAAAGGAAACAGGGCATAAGCAACAGTACTACATTAATAATTACAGGTAATTTTATGTTTGTAATTTAGTCTTTACAGAATGATTTCCTAAATGAGTGGGATTCTGAACTCAGTTTCACAGTATAAATTAGATTTACTGAAACCAAGGTATCTCACTGTGAGTTGATTCACACAGATGGAACTGAGATCAAAACCTATACTTAGCAGTAAATAGACAGATGTGAAAGTGCACTCTTCCTGTTTAGATGAAATTTTAAAAATTTGTTCAAACTTGACAAGAGAAAAAAACCCACCCCAAGGTCCAAGAATCATCATAAATATCTCGTTACCCAAATAATAATTTAACGTATCTTAGAGTTTTTGAATTTTAACCAAATTTGTAAATGTGGTGCTTTGACTTATTCAAGCTATTCTTCACTGGCTGCATGCTAAATAAAATGCTAAATATTCATAATGTTTAAAAAATACTTTATCAAAAATATTACTTTGTAAATTAAGTTGTATGAAAGGGAAGCATTAAAATAGTATTTCCACATTCATAAGTCTGATATATTATAGCAGAAAGTTCCTCACATATTCTGGATTAAAAGGTCCCAGATTCTCATGTACACACCAAAAATACTACCACACCTCATTAAAGGTGAGATTCTCGTTTTAGTTATACCACTGAAAATTGATGCTAAAGCTACAAAACTCAATCATATTTCAAGGATGATTTGAGGTTCTCTCAATTCCTACCAAGACACAGCAAATCTGGCCCTTACTAAGCATACAGTCAGTATGAAGTGTGCAATTAAACCTAAATCAAAAATAAAAGAGAAAAATTTACAGGTATGAGTATGGGCATTTCACTACTTTTCCTGTCAGTCTGCCAACCTGATCTAACACAAAGGAAAGGGATCAATCTTCTAGTCCTAAAATTTTAGAAGTTTTGTCTAACGTGATATAAAATTGTACTGCAAAGCACCTCGGGATGCATGGCATGAAGCGTGGTATACAAGTGTAGGTACAGTATGTTGCTGCTGAAATGGCACCTGAAAACTACAAGGTGGCTAAGACACAAAAGACAAAAAAAGTGTAGGAAGTTGATCATGGTTTTTTGGGTTGCTTATTTCAATTTTAAAAACCAGTTAGAAAACTTGAGGATTTTTTTTTTTCAAATTACAAGATTCATAGTAACACAGTCTGTTCATAACTAAGATGAAGGCCAAGTTGTCAGATAGCAGGTCTTGTACTGTGAAAGCAGCAATTTAATACTTATGAATCTCTTTCCTGTGAGCTCCCTGGTTTTAGACTAATTTTCCTCTCTCCATTTCTTTATCTCTTATAGCTGCATTAATACTATTTTTCCTCTCTTTGGGAATTATCTTTTAAGATGTTTAAAATAAAGTGCTTTCAATCCTTGGTTTATATGGTACATTAGAAGCCCCATATATTACAGTTTTTTCATTTGCCTCTGAGCACTGTAGCATGAACTTTTCAGGCTATGAGCTTTTCAAAGGATGAGCTCCTCCAAAATCAGTGTTCATGTGCAATGGGAAGTTTGTCCAGAATAAATACTCCTACAGCCGCAGTTTTCCTACTCGTCACTTACTCACTCCCATAGAGCTATATAACACTTATTAAATGATATACTTATTTACTAGCTAGGTGAACTCCTGGCATGGAAGGTACCCAGAACCCCAGCCCAGTACCTCTTCTGGACTGAGACACTTTTCCTTCTCCAATTTCATAAACATGCACATCACTGATCCTAGACAAACATGCTCTACACTCAGGCTAAGACAATGCAAATTTAGCCACTGTTACGTGAAGTTTGTTTGTTCATTTTTTTAAATCTCAGGCTTTCAGTTCAGTTGTTAGGATAATAATCAAAGTTTTCCCTCAAATGGAAGAAAATTTCATCATCTGAAACTAAGAAGCCAAACTGTTATGTTTTGCATCATTTAAATAGATTCATCACTAATTACCAGTCTTCTTTTTTTTTTTTCATTAGCTAAGATTTTCCTACTTCACAGGAATAGTTCAAATATCCTGTTCTACATAAATTTGAAAGCAGTAATTGTGCTGTAGCTTTTCTAGCAGATTTTGAAAACTGAGATCCATTCACCAGACTTGACCCTTCCCAAAAGGTCACACTGAAAAGTTCCTTTAGTTCCAGCTATGGGATTGACCCTGCAGTCTAACACAACTTCTTTGGACAGTGGAACACAGCAGGAGCAGGTATTAGCTGCGATTAAACCCAGCATATTTTGTTACTAGCAATATTCCTCTACCAACTCAAGCACAGCTAATTTGATTTACCTCAGATAAACACTATTCCTACACAGACAGTCATAAACACATATTGGGAGAGAGATCTGATCTGAATGGAGCACCATTCACAAAATGGTACTAAATTTTTAACATGTAAAGTTACAAAAATATTTATTTTACGCAGTGAAGTAACTGGAAGATTTGCTGAAATGATTAAGCACAGGTCTGCTGTACAAGACCATAAAATATATATATATAACTAATTGAAGATTTTAAAGACTTAGTAAAATAGACAATTTATTTCTCCCAGTTTGTTTGCCTGATATCTGAATTACTTGCTTAGAGATTATTTCTTGTGGGAAAAAAAGCTAACAAGTAGTTTTACCATTGTTATTATACAGAAAAGAATCACAAAAACAATCAGAGAAACCATTAACTAAAACTTAATGATTCAGACAGGAAATCTCACTTTTTCTCCTGATAATAGTACTTTTCTCCTTGCTCACCCACAAGGTCAGAAAGAACATCTAAGCGCTGAATGAATGCTAAAGCACACAAAAAAGTCTAACATCTCAGGCAGTTAAAAGGCACTGCAAATTTCATTTGCATGCAGATTATTACATTGTTACAGTCACTACCATTACCTTCTTTCAGATTTACATAATATATAAAAACAGCAAAGCTCCTTCTCGAAGTTGCCACACCGAAATGCACTGTGCTAAACAGCCTTTTACAATAACAAATTTTCAAGATCACCTTCCTAAACTTCTACTTCCTAAACTTACAGTTTAGGGCAAGATTCAGTTAAGGGGGCCTTATATTTTTTCCAGTGTTGTGAACAAAAAGGAGGAGAAAGAAAAATATTTGTTGTGAAAATATAAACTGAAAAATGAGTAAACAGATAGGCTTAACATTGGAGTTTGAATTCTTGCTACAGTGCACTGTTATATTTTGACTTATTATTTTTTAAAAATGGCCCTGTTTAAAGTTAGCATGGGAAGGAGGCATAAATGAATACAAGCCACAAAGCAGTCAGAGTTACTTAAGCACTGAAAATGCAAGAGAGCCTCATGCTTATTATTTATCACTGCGCAGAAACCTATTTCTACTTGACATTGGACAATAGCAGGTTTTCCTAAATTCTCAGTGAAAATGCTTTACATTTTATGTTTTTAACCTAGAGTTCTACTATTTTATTTCATTCCTGTGACACCTGATGCATAATAAACTATATACTCTAAGTGTCATATTATCAATTTGCTGCTGAAAATACCATCTCCCCATCAGAAACTTCACTTTAAGAAGCATGTCAGATATCCTGCAGTATTGTGAGAAGGCATGATATTTGGTAGATGGCACAAACTGTATTTCGTATGATTTTCTGTATCCTGAATGGTCTAATTAGGAAAAAAAAAAGTTGTTTTTAAGAAGTGACATCTTCAGTTCTGAGATAAAACAGAAATAAAATGAGGGAAACTATTTCAATTGCTGCGATAATCAAATTCTTTTGTGTCACTCCAAATACATGCATAAACATTTCCTTGCAAATCCACGTTTTAAAATTATTTCTCTCATTTCTCCCCTGACTTGCACTATGACAGCAGTAATCAAGCCTGGTAACTGTCCTTAGCACCTCAGTGTAGCCAAGTCTACCACCCCTCCCCTTAGCATAAAACTCCAGCATTTTGCATACTATTGTCTGTACCCTGAGAACTGCAACTTCTGAAATTACTTCAGCAATAAACTTTGATAAAAGGGAAATGTTCTCACCTAAAATTGCAGTTGGCACAAATGGATCTGTCATACATCATAAGCAGGTCAATGCAGAAAAGGTAAAAAGAGAGAGAACAGTAAATGATTGATATATGTTCCTGAGTTTTCTTTCAGAAAGCTACTGTAAGCAACTGATATGTTGCTTGTATGCATTAAATTCTGGTGGCAAGAAGTATAATAACATAAAAATGTATGCTTTCATTATGAAAAGGTCTATATAGGGTGGAGACCAAGAAAAAAATTGGTTACCTGGGTAATAAGAATTAGGTACTGTTGTGCTCAATGTGTTAGTTTTCATTGTAAATGAAGATGGTGAAGATACAGCTGCAAAGAGAAACAAAGCTGGTTAGAGACAGCAGAGTAATATGCAGCTATTTAAGCTGAGCGATACAGCTTAGGTGATTGACTTAAGAGTTTGTCCTGTTGTGTTTCTTGCACTGGAATCAGGACCCAGGGAAAACCATGAGTGTCTAGTGAATGAAATAGCTAACTGAATTTCTCTAAGAAAGAAATGTCATCAGAGAATGCGTTTTGATCAACAACGGCATATATGCTTCTTAAATCATAAGATTAGACTGAATACTGATGCTTGAAAAAAGACATTACAACGATCACAGGTGTTTTTGACAGAAGCTTTGATCATCAGTAAGTTTACTTAATAATACTGTAAATACTGTATCCAAATATTCTACTATAGTTTATTTTTTCCTTTTTTTTAAATTTTATTTATTCAGACAGGTGGATAATGTGTACACAGATGTTAACAGACCCTGAATATTTCTCTATATTTTCAGGGAGTGATACACAACTAACACTCACATTGGTATTTAATCATGTAGCCACTTGTAAAACCACTAGGAAAGCCCAATAGAACACATTATATTCAGTTTGTCTCCTGGTATACAAAGATCATGCAATTGCCATTGTAAACACAGACAGATTCAAGAGGTGGGAGTTAATCACAACATCGTAGAAGATATTCAGCCAAAGAGTCATTAAAGGCTTTTAAGCAAAGCTCCTTGCAAATTCAGCCTTAGTTGCTTGTCTGCACAGCTCAAATTCAGTCTTATGAGTGACTGCAAGCACATTCCGGATACCTATAAAGAGGCTAAGAGGAATTTGTGAAACATAGTAGAGTTGAGAAAGACAGGATCTGCTGGATGCGTAGAGTGAGGTTACTTCTGCTGTCTTTCATTCATCTTTTTTTTTGGTTGATCTTCTAGAGCATACAGTTGCCAGTCCTTGTTAAGATGGGGCTATCACAAAACTGGCTTAAATAATGCTGACAGTTATCATTTATCATACAAATTAATAGATCTGAGACCACTTTGATTACATCTCTTGAATGAGGAGATTACATTTCCTTGGTGGGAAGAACAGAGTGGCACTCCTTTTGGGTATGGATACAGAGATTAGTTGAGGTCAGGGCTGTTGCAGCTAATAAATCACACTAGCTAGAGAGTGCAGACAGGATAATAAACTTTCATAGGAATCAGGAACGTTCTAAACCTCTTGCATACAAGGCTTTACACAAAGATTATTCCTAAAGACTGTCAGACTGCTTCTTCTGGTGACCACTTTTCTTATGGAAAGTCTAATTAGAGGTTCTAGCCCTCAAGTGGTACAAAGAACTTGCTATGTCAATAACTTCAAATAGGTTTGAGGTGGTTTACATAAAGAGGATTTAGTCCCAGGAACTCATTGCAGCTTCTTCTGTAGTTATGAACATACAGTAACACCACTGGGAAACTATATCATGATGACAGAAGATGAAGTCAAACCTCTTGATCTCTTCACAGAAGTAAGCAATCTCATTAACTGTAAGGGTATATTCTCACCAGAAAGGCAAGTCTGATTTGAAAGATCTGTTTCAAAGCAATTTCAAAAGTAACTCAAATGTGCAAATTAACTTTGCAAATTCTGAGCCTAATGCTGCTGAGAAAAGTCTCACTGTATAAACCTCACGGAATGTTTGTACAATTGAGCTCATCAAAGGTAAATTCTTAAGCATATTATTAAAGAGTGGGAGTTGGGCCTTGCATACTGTTAGTACTTGAAACAAAATTCAATCTTTGACAAATTCTGAAGATGTTAAAAACCACTGGCATACAAAAGAACCTGAGGTTCCTTAAGATCTACAAAATCCAAGAAACTTTTTGAACAGTCATTATTTTTTCATTCTTCTTAATAATTATAAAAAACTACTGTTTTTTTCTGGTCTTTGCCTAGTGCTAACCCTGAGACAGGAGTGAGACCTTGACTAAAATTCTAATGCAGGAAATTTTATATCCCAAATTTTATTTATTTTCAGGGTAGATACCAGGATATTAGAGTATCTCTTATGAAATTGCAGAATAGAACTGAATTCTTCCTTTGCACAAGCAACAGAAAGACTATCACCTAGAATTGGAAATAATAAGACAATCAGATCATCATTATTAAGTTATGACATTCAAAAGTAAATTTCTCCTATGAAAAAAGAAGAGAGCAGGGGAAGCATTTGAAGGACTTGGGACAGCATGAGGGATATAAAATTTTTAACATAATAGAGATTGGAAAAAGGTAAAACTACTGTTTCAGTAATGTCATTGGTCTTCTGCAGAAGAAAAGGATGCACAGAAAAAAGCTCAATTATCCTTATTATTTTTAAAGAAGTCTATTCTTGATGTCTGACTGTCTTGCTCATTTGAATAGACACTGTAATGTGCTGCACAGTGGGAAACTCTGGGTCCCATGGATTTTCCATGACTGAGTAATGAGGAATATTTTAAAAACCATTTGCACCTTTCTTTCACCTTTGAAAAAAAAAAAAGAAAAGAAAAGAAAAGAAAAAACTTACATCTCCCATTTAGATTGTGCGTGTCCATGAAAGAGAAAGCTTCGTCGCAGTTGGTGCCTTGCTCAGTGTAGCTTTTATCCATTGAATTCACCATCACTGTCATTTCCTGCCGTGTACTACTCAATGTCTCTTTCCGCTTTTTAGCCAATTTTCTTAAGAAATGAATGTTGAGAGGGGAAAAAAAGGAAAAGAAACAACTCACAGTGAGCAGACATAGTCTTCATGTTGTTTACATCAGTACTGTAGTTTGTAACCACATTATTAAGTTACATTTACATTGACTTCTGCATTTCTGGAACTTTAAATTCATTTCGCTCTCATGTCTTTCAATCTGTAGTAGTTGCCAATGCCCTAATTTACAGCCAACAGAACCTTAATCCTTGGGGATCACCACTGAATTAAAGGGGACTACCTGGATACAAAGGTGATGTGAGCTACTGTATCAGAAGCTGTATCTATTTAAATATACAAATAAAAATTACATAAAGGAAGATTTCACTGCAAATGACAAATCAGTAACAATGTTCACTTTGCATGCATAGGTCTGCAGCTACTTCACTGAGACACCGTATAATACAGCTAACTGGTACACATAACACTGTATAGTATATGTTTGATCTCTTAATACAAATTGAACACTCATTTGACATTTTAAATTGACTTGCATTTGTAGAGACTATTTTCTGTCACTACTGATTTCAGGACAGTTAGTCACAAGAACTAGTTGCTTTTTGTCAGGAGTGGTCCGTCAGAGACAAGATCTTAGATCTGATACTACAATACTGATTAATCAAGCTACAGAACTGCTTTGGATGCCTGAACCTTTTTTTTTCAGACCTGTGTGTTTCAGTCTAAACTAGACTATCACATTCTTTTCTGGAGTTATGCTTAGCTGCATCACAAAATAGCGTGTCCAAAATTCTTTATTTTTCCTTCAAGCTCTATGTGACATCTGTGACCCTGATCATGGTGGATCCCATTACCATTTGGCTAGTTTCCCAGCCTGTGAGTCTGTCTTAGACCAAGCCTTTCTCCAAGACCTTGCCTATAGCCTTAATTTAAATTTTCCAGATTCCTTCTGTATACTATCTTCAAGGTATGAGTTTTACAGAGAAATAACTGCTCCACAGACTTCCATCTTCTCCTATCTGTCCATTCAATGACTTTTCCTCTATGGAAAACACGAGCCAGTCCATATTCATCCACCAGAAAGCTCTTCGACATATCATCAACCAGAACTTACAGGAGCTTATTATCTCATCTAGGTTTCCTTCCACTCCTAGAGGCCAACTGCATCAAGCATAACCAACTTTTGCTAACTTTCAAAGCCTTTTCTTTGTTTCTCTCACTCAGTATGGAAAAAATGATTCCCACCACAGACAAAAATTTTATACCAGCCTCCACTAGACTTTCAAACAAGCACATATTTGTCTGCCCTTATGCTGCATGGGAGGAGCTTTCTGTGAACCACCCTACTGATTATCTCATTATTTTGCTTCAAATCACTACCTGCAGATACACTTTGCAAAGTACTGATATTACTGCTCACTATGTTGATCAGAAGTGCCTCAGAGTCTCCTCATGTTCCCCGTCTATCTAGCTGTTGTCTCTCATCTTACACCTAGATAACTAGCCATTTGGGCAGGAGTTCTGAGCAAGCTCAGCAGTATCTTAGTCCATAACTAAAGCTCAAAATACCTTTGAAACTAAACTCTGGCTGTTAATTGAAATAGGAATAGTAAGTGCAGGCACGGTATTGGGTCACTGCACACAGAAGTATTAAGGGTGACATTTGGCCCTCAATAAGCTGCTGGAATGCCACCCCACTCATGAGGACATGTTCCCATGACTGAAAGTGAATGAAGCACTCTGCCTTAAAAACCTGCTACAGTACCTGCAGCAATGTTGTCTTTGTTTATCCCAGCCCAGAAGCCACCTGTGTGAGCTTGAGCAACACACTCTAGATTGCAACTGATGCTGAGGAGGAGCATGCTTATGGTCAGGGGGACGGCAGACTTTGTAGGCTTGATAACAAAACTGGTTCTTTACTACTTCACAGGGCATAAAAGCAGAAGGGACCATTACATAATGGTCTGAACTCTCATACTGGGGACAGTTAAATTTCATTCAAGTAACATCAGTAAAACAATACTATTAGATCTTTCATTCTTCGGTTTTCTCCTCTCCTTCTAATTGCAATGAATAAGTAATACATTATTCAAAGGAGAATCTGTGACATATTGCCTAATATATGAGTAACTCCATGGAAGTCCTTTGTAAGGACAGGCTTACCAGCGTGATAATGTGAGATGGATAAATTTTTTCACCCTTAGATGGCAATACACTAAGTCACACATGGCTCCCTTTCCAATCCTCTTTAGCCTTAAGATGAAGGTACTTACATCTACTCCCAACACCTGCCAACAACTGGGCAGCTGCCAGTTTAGCTGAGTTGTGAAATCAGAACCTGTGACAACAGTGACAACGATAGCATCCACAGTGTGATCATTGAAACTTCATCTGTAAGGCACACAGTATTTTATTGGCTGTGTAGGCCATAGGTTAAGTACTTCAGGACACTCCAGCACTAGACCAGTGCTTTAGGAAGGCATGCAGGAGGAGCTTTTCTTCCGGAGCTTTCCCTCTCCTCAGGATGGAAGTAGCAGCTTCTTTTTAACCAGCTGCCAATCCTATTAGCTACCTAAACCCTGCATCCTCGCTAAAGCCAGGAAACCACAGTATATAGTGGCCTTCCCTTGCTCTGCAGTGGAAATGTGAGTACTATCTCTTCACAAAACCTTTAATCGCTTAAATCACAAGCTCAGCACTTTCTCTAAGACCTTTAGCAGCTAAATAATGTATTGGTGAACAGATAACAACTCTTCTTTAACAGTCTTTTAAAGAAAAGTTATTAGGACAATCCCCTGAACAACAATATAGTGATACTGATCCATATCTGAAAATCTACAATGTGGTAAAACACGATACCAGCCACTCAGTGGGATTACACAAAAACCCATGCTCAGTATGGTGCACACCTTGAGGATCTGCTGTTACAGGGAATGTCCTTTATTTTACAGTAAGAATTGTATCCTTCACAAGGAAAGCCAGAGTTCTTGCTTATTACACCAACAACATGAAGCTCAAATTGTATAAAAAGTCAGCTAATTTTCTTAGGGAAATTACACTAACATTTTCTCATTTTGTTCATTTTTGGTTTTGGTCCCATAATCAAGCTATAGCAGATTTATTTTTTTTTTTATGACTAACAACTGTACAGTACTTATGAATCTGAATCTAATTCTGGAAATACGTCTTGTGGGAAAAGTTCAAATCTGAAACAACTGTTAGAGGAAGGGAGTGATACCAGCCAGACTTCTGTACTGTGAACAAAAACACCCACTGGACTTAGTTAAGTAAACCTTGGTGGAATATAACATTTTTTACATCTGCAGTTTTCAGATATTGCTGAAAGTGTTGCAGTGCTGCAGTCTCTGCAACTCATCCATTCCTTGGATCTCTCAATCCCCAGAAGGCTCTAGCTATACAAGATTTAAGAAATTCGTAAACCCATGGTACCTCACATCATCATCACCACTCATGCTCACAGATTTAAAGCAAATTTTTTGGGGAAAAAAAAGGCTTAAATATTTGATCATCTTCACTCACAGAAAAGACACTTCCTAGCTACTCTCTCATATTTTCTCCTTCATAAAGGAAAAGAGACCTATAACAAAAGGAAAAAATAAAACAGATGGAAGTTCCCATGATGATTACCTAGGATGAAGTTATTTTTGTGGGGAAAGTAAAAGTGATCAGCTTATCACACAAATAGTGTCACTATCACTGTATGAGGAAAGAGAATATACTACATCAGTCTCAGAGAAGAGGAGACTGATATTCAGAAATATCTCAAGACTAGCTTGAGGCACAAGAAATCACGAGAAGTGAACAGGCATAATGCTAAAAATTTCAGAAAATGCAGAGCAGACAAACATATATATTCCCTCTGCAAAATTGTTGGGATTTTGGGCATTGTTTACACTGTTCTGTTGCAAATACTTATAAAAACAGCCTAGGAAAATCAAAAGCTAAAGCATTCACCACAATCTGTCTCCATTTTACCTATCATGATGAAACTCTCAAATGCTCCATATTCTCCTGTACAGTCCCTCTAGTTGAAAGGATCACTCTGTAAAACTTCTGCAAGCCTAAGTCAATACCTTTCTCAAAATCCTCCTTCTCTGTGACTTCTCCCTCAAACCCTCCAACAAACCTACTCCAACAACTCCTAACTTGCTTACTGCATTGTCAGCCTCTGGTTCATTTTCCTTCTATTTTCCTGTATCCATTTTCTCTATCCTGCCTTGACTTAAACTCTTGTGGACCTAGCTTGCCTTTTCCCTCTGTGTTGATAAAGCACTAGGCCCAAAGAATGAGGCACAATGGGACACCGCCACAGTTAGAGGAATGCAACAACAGTGAAAATAGAACTTTAAAAAAAAAAAGGTGACTAGCGCTGATAACTAGAATCAACTCAGGCCCTGAAAAATATGTGCCTTCCATTTTAATTTAGGAACAGTGGGGAAAGCACACTGATTTGAATCAAACAAAACCACTCACTTCCTCCTTCCCCATTCCAAAATGAGTGGTAGTCCTCTTTTTGTATCAGTATGCTTCCTTTCTCAGAAGCAAAGAAAGGAGAAACAAGATGCTACTACTTTCCACAGTTCCAGCAACACACTAACATCACCAAGATATTAATAAACAACATGAGATTAAATTTGGCATAGTGCTGCTTAAGGAATTGTGCTGAATTTTTTCTTTTAATTAATGCAATGATCTATTGCACTTATTGTAACTCAAAATAGCTTCTTCCTACATACTTAGTGTTTCAAATTTTACTTCCCTGCTTGTGGACAAATCACATAAATGATTCAGATAAAGAAAGGATTGGGGACTTCAATGCAATCCAGCGCTGTGGTGCACCTGTAGGTGCAAAAGCTTTTAACAGTTTGTTCACCAAAGTCCTGAAACAATCTAAAGTGCAATAAGAATGATCCTTCAGTAAAATCCTTTAGTAGCTGGTTAGAAAGATACAATACCAAGGGTAGGGCTAAATGATCATTTTTCACAACTAGTAGGCATCCTA